GCGAAGAAGAACTGTTCTTCGGGAACATGCGAAAATAGAGGAAAAGGTGGTGTCAGCGTTTCTCTCAACACTAGTTTGGCCATTAACATCGATTCATTCCAACGATAGTATTCCATTCCAACACTTGAATGGAACTTTTGCGATTGAAGAGATGTGGATCAATACCGGTTTTGACAATCTTCGCCATTTACGCGCCGACACCCGACATTTATCTTCTAGGGTTATGAAAGTATTTGGCTGAGTAGATCTCATCTCAATTCGACCTTTTCAGGCCTTGAGGAAGGCTAAACCGCCGAAACGTCGGCTGTTGTATTCCAGCCGATAGATTGGAGGAGGCCGCTACTAATCTCTGTCATCCTAACGTTTAAGCGATAATACTTCACTAGGGAACATGATGATTAGAGGTGAGTGTAGACAGCAGTTGTGCCTTTTTGCTAGAGGTTGGTCATCCATGCTGAGGAGTAATAAAAGTCGGATGCGAGAGTCTAGGCATTCCAGCAAGTGCCCTTATTATGCCCTTGAATTATTCTAGTCTTTTCTTGACAATGCATTGTATAATCATGTTACAGATGGTCAACGAGAACTGATTTTTTGATGTGAAATTATTTCAGTGCAACTGTGGAAGAACATACAGTTTGACAGTAGCTTCAGTGCGCCTAAGTATCCTTAATGCATTTCCTTACAGAACAAAATAGCACATGCAAATACAAGAAAGAGCGGCAAGAGGGTTTATTGGTAGTAATTTGAATAGAAAAGTCTTCATCAGAGAGCCGCTTCAGTGCGTGGCTTCACAATAACCCCTGAATTGTCTTCGATGTCTTCCAGCACAAAATCCACCACCTAAACATCCGACGTTGTAAACAAATTGCTTGATAGTAAGGCGTTTTTGCAACTTAATCTCAAGGTTCATTGGATGTGAATGCAGTAGGATATCCTCCTCAAAGGAGTAGCTTTAAACCAATGATGATTGCAGGAAATGTTTTAGGAAAATTCTACGGCAGTGTGATTCATGCACTATCAAGTTGTTGTTAGTACGTCTGACGCGTCAGTGTTGGAGATTGCCAATCTTTTTATTACTAGTTACCTATTCAAATTATTGGTAACGGTCATCAATAATTGGATATCCATTTTTTACCTAAAGCTTTAATTTGCAGTTTATATCTGTTACCCTGGTATTCCTTTTGGTTCGTAGAGGTCCAATATCCTTTCCTCGTGGCCCTTGTGGCCCTCGTGGCCCTGGTGGCCCTTCTGGCCCTTTTAAACCTGGTAGTCCTGGTAGCCCTTGTGGTCCTGGTGGTCCATTTGGCGCTGATATCCCTCGTTGCCCAAGTGGCCCCGGTCGTCCTGCTGGTCCTGGTGGACCTGGTGGCCCTCGTGGCTTTGGCTCTGGTTGCATTGTTGTCCCTCGCTCCCGCATTTCTTCTTGGCTACCTTTCAATACACAGGTCTGAAAGATCATAACACCTATTCACCATTTGGAGAAGCGGTCGTCCTTAGATACTGAAAAGACATTAGCTTACCAGTGTAATACCAAAAAGAGCAACGAGAATGAGAAGAATCTTCATGCTCTACCCAGAGAACAGTGTTTCTGCAAGGACACATTCGACTTTGCATCTTCTCTGTTTGTTGGGCAAAAACAGATAAGAAACTGTAAATTTGCAAAAGGTTAAAAATATCTTCGGTGCACTTGCAAGGAAAAGATAAAGAGGTACACATCAGCGTGATTCTACTAACTAATGCAAGGGTGCTTAAAAAATATGAAGGCAGTCACGGGATCTAAGTGAATGGAGTGACGACCGACCAACTTGCTTTTATTCTTAGAGGAGTAGGCGGAGATAGGATGTAGATTAAGAGTGTTCAGGTGAGTACAATCTGATAAAGCTGTTTCTGGGTGCGATTGAATGTCGAACAAAGAAAGAACAGTTTTCACAAAGAGTTAATTCAATCCTTCTACGAAATATGTGAGACAGTGCATCAGATAGGAACAGAAAATTTATAGAGGGTCCCTATTTAATCCTGGTGGCCTCGTGGCCCAACTTGCCCAGGTAGCACTTCTGGCCTAACATGTAAATTGTGGTTTCCAACTGGAAACCACAATTTACGTGTTCTGGCAAATCGTATGGCGGCCTAAATTCAAAAGGAAAAAACTCCAGACCAGTGGAGGACGTTATCCACGGTTAACCAGCCCAAGGAAGGAGACCGAAGGAATTTTCGCAACTATTGCCGGATTAGCTTGTTGAGTGTACTCTACGAGCTTTTCACAAAGATTATCCTCTCGCGTATATCAAGGAGATTGGATGATACGAAACCAGTGGAACGAGCAGGATTTCGACAAGGATTTTGCTGCATTGGCGACAACGAAATAGCGTCCAGGGTCATCGGAGTATGTCGTGAGCACCTCATGCCTCTAGTCCCAATTTTTTCACAGTTTTTTATTTTTTTTTTTGCCCAATAAACGGAGAAGATGCAAAGTCGAGTGTGTCGTTGTAGAAGCATTGTCCTCTGGGAAGAGCGTGAAGCATCTTCTAATTCTCGTTGCTCTCCTTGGTATTAGACTGGTAAGCTAATGTCTTTTTAGTGTCTAAGCACGACCGCTTCACCGAATGGTGAATAGGCGTCATGATCTTTCAGACCTGTGTATGGAAAAGCGGCCAAGAAGAAATACGGAAGCCAGGGTCAACAACGCAACCACAGCTAGATCTACGAGGCCCACAGGGTCCACGAGGAACAGCAGGGCGACCAGGGCCACCTGGGTAACGAGGGATATCAGCGCCAAATGGACCAGCAGGACCACAAGGGCTACCAGGACTACCAGGTTTAAAAGGGCCAGAAGATTAAGTTGCAAAAACGCCTTACTATCGAGCAATTTGTTTACAACGTCGGATGCTTAGGTGGTGGATTTTGTGCTGGAAGACATCGAAGACAATTCAGGCGTTATTGTGAAGCCACGCACTGAAGCGGCTCTCTGATGAAGAATTTTCTATTCAAATTACTACCAATAAACCCTCTTGCCGCTCTTTCTTGTATTTGCATGTGCTATTTTGTTCTGTAAGGAAATGCATTAGGGATACTTAGGCGCACTGAAGCTACTGTCAAACTGTATGTTCTTCCACAGTTGCACTGAAATAATTTCACATCAAAAAATCAGTTCTCGTTGACCATCTGTAACATGATTATACAATGCATTGTCAAGAAAAGACTAGAATAATTTAAGGGCATAATAAGGGCACTTGCTGGAATGCCTAGACTCTCGCATCCGACTTTTATTACTCCTCAGCATGGATGACCAACCTCTAGCAAAAAGGCACAACTGCTGTCTACACTCACCTCTAATCATCATGTTCCCTAGTGAAGTATTATCGCTTAAACGTTAGGATGACAGAGATTAGTAGCGGCCTCCTCCAATCTATCGGCTGGAATACAACAGCCGATGTTTCGGCGGTTTAGCCTTCTTCAAGGCTTGAAAAGGTCGAATTGAGATGAGATCTACTCAGCCAAATACTTTCATAACCCTAGAAGATAAAACATAACAAACAAATTTGTCTTCGCATTAGAAACAGCTTTATTTAAACACCTACCGTTTATTTGTTGTAAGTATTTAAGTTAGTTGGAGGACAGTAGACGCACAGAGTAATACATGGACGAGGACCGTGCCAGTGTCATGTCATTCGATCAGCCTGAGGCATGGCGCGGGGACACGCGTGATGACAAGATATTCCTCCTTGCGGTTCATTTTTGAACTTTTGGAATTGATCCAAAACGCTTCAAGAGTTTCACGCGCTGTTTTTGATTTGTGCGTAGGGATAGTGACTCCTACTTCAAAATCTTCTCCGTTGTGTTCTTGCATCCCATGCGCGCCTAGTGGAGTGTTTAGTTTTAATTTAGATTTACCGACTGCGTATTCTTTTACGCGGACGGAAAGCCGTCGAACCGTTTCGCCATCATATTCGTCCCCATACGCTTTACAAGAGATTAGATAGACTGTACACGAACTCATGCAAACACCGTCTCTACAGTTAGTGAAAATTACGCAGTTTTTCGTTATACATAGATTCAATGACTCAAATCATTTGTTCATCTCCTCTTGTGTGGAGCGGACGGCAGAACAGTCATCTATGTAACTCGAAAGACCGACTTTCTATAAACCTCGGCATAGATGGTTGATATATTTATTTATATGATCTTATGAACTGATCTTCTTGTGCTGACGCGAGGTTGGTACAGGTCTTCGTTGTTGTTGTCGTTGTTTTTGATGTTATTGATCGATGGCTGACGTTTCGGCGACTTCGCCTTCCTAAGAGCCTGAACGTATTTTATATTAGAATATTTTTATTATTCGGTGGAAAAAGGTTAAAGTATTAATATAGATCAAACTTTCAAATAGACGCCATATTGAACAGAAAGGCCACTCATCGTGATGCTAGGTGTGGCACTGGCCCACACGTAGTTCACTTGGGGTGGCGAGCATTTTTGAAATTTACCCTAAACGCGTCAAGAGTTTGCGCGTTGACGTTTTTGATTCCTGCACTAGGATCCGCACATTCACTTCAAAATTATCGCCGTTGTGCTTTTGTGCCCTATGCGTACCTAGAGGGGTTTTTAAACGGATTTTAGCTTTCCCATCTAGATGTTCTTTTATGCGGACACAAAGTGCTCTACCCGTTTCCCCGATATATTCCTCGCCGCATGCATTACCTGAGATCAAGTATATTATACCTAAACTCATGCAATCGCCGTCTCTCCCGTTAGGACAGGTTATACAGTTTTCTAAGCTGCACAAACGATCATAGAGACGGTTTCGAACTAACTGGCGGCGTAGGGTATTGGGTGTGATGTCAATAATCGTTAGACAATTTTCAAGGCCACTTTTTCTTTAGCATTTTTTAATGGCGTGACTTACTTCATTTGATATGAAGGGCAGCTTAAAGGGGATCCTACTTTCGTCTGAAATATTATTTTGGGAAACTACCCAGTGTTTTCCTCTAACCCGAGTGGCTTCTACTTCGTAGCCATTGGAAATGGCAATTTTCCGTGCCAGGTTTCGCGATTCCTTCCTTTCTTCTTCTTCTGTACACACATTTTTAGCCGTACGATGCATATTTTTGATAAGTGCTTTTTTCATGTGTGAAGGATGAGAGGAGAGGCAGTGGACTAGAATGTTTTTACTACTTGGCTTGCGATACCATTACATAAATAATCGAAAATTATGTAACGATTATTGACATCCCACCCAATACCCTACGCCGCCAGTTAGTTCGAAACCGTCTCTATGATCGTTTGTGCAGCTCAGAAAACTGTATGATCTGTCCCAACGGGAGAGACGGGGATTGCATGAGTTTAGGTATAATATACTTGACCTCATGTAACGCATGCGGTGAGGAATATATCGGGGAAACGGGTAGGCCACTTTGTGTCCGCATAAAAGAACATCTAGATGGGAAAGCTAAAATCCGTTTAAAAACCCCTCTAGGTACGCATAGGGCACAAAAGCACAACGGCGATGATTTTGAAGTGAATGTGCGGATCCTAGCGCAGGAATCAAAAACGTCAACGCGCAAAACTCTTGACGCGTTTAGGGTAAATTTCAAAAATGCAAAGTTGAACCGGAAGGACGAATGCCTCACTATCACGCGTGACCTGGCGCCCTATTTCAAAATGATATTTTGACCCCGGGGCGTGTCTTGCTCGCGACTCCACGTGAACTACGTGTGGGGCAGTCCCGCACGTAACATCACGGTGAGTGGCCTTTCTGTTCAATATGGCGTCTATTTGAAAGTTTGATCTTCATTAATACTTTAACCTTCTTTTCCACCGAATAATAAAAAGTATTCTAACATAAAGTACGTCCAGGCTCTGACGAAGGCGAAGTCGCCGAAACGTCAGCCATCGATCAATAACATTAAAAACAACGACAACAACAACGACGACGAAGGTCTGTACCAACCTCGCGTCAGCTTAAGAAGATCAGTTTATAAGATCACATAAATAAATTAACTATCTATGCCGAGGTTTATAGAAAGTCGGTCTTTCGAGGAACGAGCAGTGTTCATACAATACGGTGTTGCTGTGAAATAAATCTTTGCATTTCGTACCTCGTAATTGTGTTCCGATATCGAGCAATATCGCCTGGCCACAAGAGATGGCCAACTACTACGTCATTATAAAAAGAGTGCCATTAAAATTGGTTGGGTAGGTCTCAACGGAATGCGTGGCTCATATGACTCATTTACTCACCGGTGTATTGTTGTATACACGCAATGGTCTACCGCCTCATCGTGGATGGGACGTGTTCCGGTGTCGGACTGCGATTTACAGCGGGGATTCTTCATCCTGCAGGATCTCCCAAGCTGAGAAGTGGTCCGACGTTTCCATTAAGAAGCCTGGCTAAGAGTAAATCAATACCAGGATCCACCACCGTCCTGGTATCAAACTAGTCACATGGTGGTAAATCTCTCTCTG